TATTTTTAATTCCTGATTTCTAGGAGGTGCAACAGGGCATATAATCATTCTGTATATCAGGGGTCCTCAAACTACGGCCCGCGGGCCACATGTGGCCCGCCCAGGACATTTATCTGGCCCACTGGGTGTTTTTGCTGCCGCTGCCTGTCCTGCTTAGCAGCCGACTCATCCTAGGCCCACAATTTGGCCCTCCAACAGTCTGAGGGACAGTGAACTGACCTCCTGTTTAAAAAGTTTGAGGACCCCTGTATATGTTTAATGAAGCTTTGCCTCATTAGGTAGGTATGTTACCCAACTTATTTATCCATATTTGAATAAAATTATTAAGTGATATTGAGTTCTTATCCTATTTCTAGCTCTACTATAACTCAGGTGACTTACTCCCACTCCTCTTCTCCAGCAAGTCCCTTATCTTGTTTGGTTTTTCTTTTTCTTGTGTCTAAAAAGTAGTGTTAACACTGAAATAAATATTACCACCTTCTTATAATTGGAAATGATAATTAAGAAATGAAATTATGCTAATATGTGGAAAAATAATGTAGCACTTCATATGAACAGTTGCTTTCTACTTTGTATTTGTTTCTAAGTCAGGCTGGCCTTTTGCCTTATAGCCTTACAGAATGGACTAATTTAGAGGATTTCCTCTGGTGCAGCAGTTCTCAACCTGTGGGTCGTGACCCCCCCCTTTTTAGCAATGAAAATACATCACAGCATTAGGAAGGTTGAGAACCACTGCTAGTGTCAGGTATCTGATCTTCAGCTTTGTAGTCTCAAAAATTGGTTATCAGTTCAGCCAGCAGGAATCAAGTTCAAGATTGCTAATGCATGCCAACCAAATACCCACCTAGTATCTGTCCTAGTAAGCTAATGTATTAATTTGTGGTGGGGAATGCTATTTTACAGTGACCAGAATGTGTTTTCTCCACTATCTAAAGAACCGTCTTTCCAGTATTAGGGTATCTGAAAAAACAAACTGGTCATGCTGAAAGTTGCTTAAAATCAGAATAATAAACATTTGGGTAGTCTCATGAGTTCTGTCTTACAAGTTATGTTAGACTCTGAAAGATACCATCCTCACTTCTGCCATGTAAGCCACAGCATTCTCTTGGTTAGAATACATATATTTACCAGAGACTGTACCATATTTTCCTCTATGTAATAAAACTAAATTTAAAAAGATAAATTTTCATTATTCTTTTGAATCTGTACCATTCTACCATTGTAGCATTTTCACATATTGTAACAGACCAGTTTTTACACTGATTTTAGATTGGTATTGTCTTATGAGTATTGGGGCACCTAAGGTCACACCTCATTTCCATCCCCACCACATTTACAATTATTGTGAGTTGCATCTGAAGATCTGTCTTGTTTATATTAGTTTCTTTGGGTTTATATCTCAGAGATTGCCATTTCTTGACCTTGTCCACAAAATTGGAGCCTTAAATATTAGTTATATCACCATTTATGTTTTTTGCTGTTATTGTCATATTATTAAGTATGTGTATTAGTGCCATAAATAACTTCTTCTCCTAAAACAAAACCTTAAATTGAGTAGACATAAAGCAAAAGATTTGCTGCCAAAATACAGAATTTAATCTTTACATTTCTTCCAGCTCTCTCTATTGGAACATTTCTTTTCCCAGCCCTTAAGTGTCCTATGCTGTAATCTCCCAGAAGCCAAAAGAAGAATACATTTTTTATCAGTTAATCAATGTGAAAACATCCGACGTCTTCCATCATTTAGGAGGTAAAAAAAGAAGTACATATATAATATACCTTTTACTAGAGTTTGGGACAAAATAAGGGATCTCAAATTCATTTTCTTTGTTTTTTTTTTTTTTTTTTGAGACAGAGCCTCAAGCTGTCCCCCTGGGTGGAGTGCCGTGGCATTACAGCTCACAGCAACCTCCAACTCCTGGGCTCAAGCGAGTCTCCTGCCTCCGCCTCCCAAGTAGCTGGGACCACAGGCGCCCGCCACAACACCCGGCTATTTTTTGGTTGCAGCCGTCATTGTTGTTTGGCGGGTCCGGGCTGGGGATTCGAACCCGCCACCTTAGGTGTACGTGGCTGGCGCCTTAGCCGGTTGAGCTATAGGCGCCGAGCCTTTTTTTTTTTTTTTTTTTAGACACAGTCTCACTCAGTTGCCCTTGGTAGAGTGCTGTGACATCATAGCTCACAGCAACCTCAAACTATTGGGCTCAAATGATCCTTTTACCTCAATCTCCCGGGTAGCTAGAACTACAGGCACCTGCCACAACACCCGGCTTTCACTTTTGCTCAGGCTGGACTCAAACTCCTGAGCTCAAACAATCCACTCACCTCAACCTCCCAGAGTGCTGGGATTATAGGTGTGAGCCACCATGTCCAGCCAGATTCATTTATTTCTAAAGTGGGAAAGGAATAATAACCTTTTTATTTTGCTGTTCTGTTTTTAATTGTGAGATTTTCCTTGTTGAATTTTACAATTTGGCCAAAAGAAAAAAATTAAAAAGGGACATAATTTTGGAAGTTCTCTTATTATTTCTTTTTAGAAATAACTTTTTTTGCAGTTTTTGGCCCAGGCTAGGTTTGAACCTGCCACCTCTGGCATATGGAGCCGGTGCCATACTCCTTTGAGCCACAGTCGCTGCCTAGAAATAACATTTTTTATTTCTGTGGTTTTATGGCCTTTGTTTATGATTAGAATTGGACTAGCAGACTATGAAGTACAGCTGATTTAAGGAGTTAGAAATTACCATTATACTGTGACTGTCAGCTTGAATTTATGAGAAGAAATGAAAAAAATCTGGCCACCAATCTAGGTAGTTCTTTTTCCCAGTATGCTATTTAAATATGTTTAATGCTTAATTTTCTCTTTTCGTGTATGGGATGGTGAAATTATAGGTACGTGGACAATCAAGCTTCAGAAAAGCAAGTTGCACTATTGACTAATGAGAGATTTTTGAAGGTAAGAGTATGGATGTATTTATTTCAGTTTCATTCTCTTATATTTTCCTTTATGAAAAAGAATATGTTTTGAGTTTTTTGGTTTGGGTTTTTTTTTCTTTTTTTGAGACAAGTGTCTCACTCTGTCAGCTGAGTAGAATGCCATGGCCTCAGTCTACCTCACAAAAACCTTTGACTCCTGGGCTTAAGCAATTTTTTTGCTTCAGCTTTCTGAGTAGCTGGGGTGACAGGTGCCCACCACCACAGTGGGCTAATTTTTCTATTTGTAGTAGAGACAGGGGCTTGCTCTTGCTCAGGCTGGTCTCAAATTGGGATTACAGGTATAAGCTACTTTGCCTTTTATCAAGTTAATTTATAAATCATATCTGTTTTAACTCAGATATAAATAAATGTTAACACATCTTAGCATTTGGGTCTTGAGAGTCAATTAAGAGTGTATTAAAGATGACACAAAACTTCATCTCTAAAATATAAGACTTTTTAAAATCCAGAATAATTTATTAACTAGAACACCTAGTTTCTCTTGTGGTGTGTTTTATTTATTTATTTATTTAGAGACAAAGTCTTACTTTATCGCCCTCGGTAGAGTGCTGTGGCGGCGTCACACAGCTGACAGCAACCTCCAGCTCCAGGGCTAGGTGAGTCTCTTGCCTCAGCCTCCCAAATAGGTGGGACTACTGGCACTCGCCACAGTGCCAGCTATTATTTTATTGCAGTTTGGCCTGGGTTGGTTTTGAACCTGCCACCCTTGGTATATGGGGCCGGTGCCCTACTCACTGAGCCACAGGCCCGCCCTTGTGGTCTGTTTTAAAAGCACTTTTTCTGGTCACGTGTCGTGGCTCACTCCTATAATCCTAGCACTCTGGGAGGTTGAGGCTGGATGATTATTTGAAAGAGTTTAAGACCAATATGAACACCATAATGATACCTTATAGAAAAATTAGCTGAGCATTATGGCACCTGCCTGTAGTCCCAGCTGCTCAGGAGCTTGAGGCAGGAGGATCACTTGACCCCTCAAGTGAATTGGAGGCTACATGAGCTATGATGATACCACTGCACTCTATTCCTGAAAACAGAATGTGACCCTTCTCAAAAAAAAGCACTTTTAGATCTGCTACGGGAATCTCTTTCCACTTAGCAACTTTGGAATCTACAGGCAGTCTCATTTTAACGTTCTTATAAAGGCTGTCATAACTAAAAACCATATAGAAGTCAGGTAGCTTAACTGTTGACTGCCAAGTGAATATTGAGTAGATTTGAGGAAAGATCATTATACACTGATGATAGAATGCCAGGAAAGAAGTAATGAGCTCAGATGATTAGTCAGCTGTATGACAGAATAACAAAAGAAGGAAGTTTTTTTTTTTTCTCTCTTGAGTAAATACTTGGACATGGTACATAATCCATTTTTTTGTTTGTTTTTTTTTCCCCCATTCTTTTCATGGTAGATAATTTAAAAGGCAACGATGATGTATAGTGAAAAGGCTTCCTTTCAAACCTCTGCCCTCTTCTCACTTCTCTCCCTATACACAGCCAGTGTTCCTAGTTTCTCATGTGTCTCCACATGTAAGTGATGATATGTGTTTTGGGCATTCCTCCTCCCTACAGGCAGTAAATATATTACACACACTGTTCTGCACCTTGTTTTGTTTTGTACTTAATCTTGGAACTCATTCCATATTAGTATTGGAGAGTGTCATAGTATTTTATTGAATGTATGTACCTTTGTATTTTTTAAATAAGCCCCTTAAACTGATGGATGAATAATTTTCTTACTCCTCATGCCTATTTTAGGGAAAAGTTATTAGGAAATTGTAATAAAATTAAGATGGCATTGAAGATAAGCTCTCGTGTTAAATTGAGGGTTGCTTATACATGCTATTTTGAAATTTTAAATAAAATTTGTTAGATTCTGTACTCCCAAATATGTACAATTACCATGTTTCAATTTAAAGCATTAAAAAATACGTGAGATTCTAGAGGGCATATGTTCTATGCAGTTCTAAACTAATTTACCTCCATTGTAAATTCTAAAAAAATATTAAGAATGGATTTTATTAAACATTATTTCTAATGCAGAATCCACACTGGGCCCTAATACAAGATCATCTGTAGATTGGGTCCAGGAATCATTGCAACTATTTTAGAGCTGTACAGTGTAGGAGATTCTGCTAGAGGGTAAATTTAAGAACCCATGGGAGAGAATGTGTACATATTTATTGAATCTTTTAAGACTGGCTAAATTAGCTTTGTGCGAGTCAGATAGTGCCAAGTGCATTTCCTGCTAGAGCAGACCTTTTTGTGAAAGTGTAGTTTTAGAATCCAGGAATAGATTATTTGAGAGTTCTTTTAACCATTGAAATGACAGAGAGTGAGATGTCTAGGGTAGTGTATTATAGTGTATTATTTGGTGACATTTTGTGTAGTTTCTAAGCATTTATTTATACTATACTTGTTCCTCTTGGACTGTCAGCCCTGATGTTATTATCTTTGCTGTATTCACTTTAGGCTTATATATTGTCATTTAAGGGCTTTTGTTTTTGAGACTTAACACAGTGAAAAATATAAAAGAGCAAAAAAAATTGTACCCTTGTCTTGAAAAAGTTGTCTGTTCAAAGGATAGAAGATGTCTGTGGAAAACTTCTTATGTTTTATTCTCATTATAATGCTTTCCTGTTTTTTAATGTTAATAGAACATGTTTATTTTTCTTTTGGGTCCTAATAGGCCAAAGAGAGTAATCTAGCAATAACAGGCAAATGTAAGCATGCTTTCCCAAAGATTCATTGTAAGCTTTCTTTCAGTGAATGGGAAGTGCTTCACAACACTTTTCTAAGCCAACATTTATAATATCTTTCCCCATGGGGCACTAGTATGCCAAATAGAGAAATCAGCAATGATAGCAATTAACAGTAAGTATAAGGATGCTTTCTTTTTCTTTCCTTCTTTTTTTTTTTTATTAAATTAAGAAAATCTTTTTTGGAGACAGGATCTCTCTCTACTGCCCAGGCTGGAGTATAGTGGCTCAATCATAGCTCACTGTAACCTTGAATTTCTGGACTCGAGTAATCTTCTGCCTCAGCCTCCTAAGCAACTGGGACTATAGGTGCAGACTAAAAAGCCCAGATAAGTTTTTTTTTTTACTGTTTATAGAGATGGGGTCTTGCTGTATTGCTCAAGCTGGTTTTAAACTCATGGCCTCAAGCTATCCTCCTGCCATAACCTCCCGAGTGCTGGTGTTCCAGGTGTGAGCCACTGCACTGGACAACATGCTTTCTTTAAGGTGTATAATAAACTGTTTTCTTTCAGTGAATGGAAGAGTTGACAGAGAAACATGTTTATAAGTAAACACTGAGAATATGTTATTAGAACATGTTCTCCATTGGGCCTTAATAGGTCATGTATAGAAATTCAGTAATAAAAGGCAAATGTAAGCATGCCTTCTGTAAGATGCATCAGAAACTGTTTTCTCTCTCTCTTTTCTTTTTCTTTTTTAAAATTTCAGTATATGTAGTGGGTACAGGTGCAGTTTTGTTACATTAGGATGTACTGTATAGCAGTGAGGTCTGAGCTTTTAGGATGTGCATCACCTGGATAATAGACATTGTAACCAACAGATAATTTTTCTTCCATACCCCCCTCCCACCCTAGCATATTCGGAGTCTCCAGCACCCTCAGTATGATGATGCATACCCATAGTTTTGCTCTGACTTATAAGAGAGAACATACCACATTTGATTTTCTGTTCCTGAGTTACTTCACTTAGGATAATGGCCTCTAGTTATATGTTGGTTGCTGAAGAAGACATTACTTTGTTCTTTGTTATGGCTGAGTAAAGTGTTTCATGGTATATGTGTACACTGCATTTTCTTTATTCACTCATCAGTTACTGAACACTTAGGTTGATTCTGTATCTTTGCTATTGTGAATTGTGCTACAATAAATGTCCAAGTGCAGGTATCTTTCTGATGTAATGACTTATTTTCATTTGGTTAGGTAGCCAGTAGTGGGATTGCTGGATCAAATGGTAGATCTATTTTGATAGTTCTCTGCGAAATCTTCATGCTGTTTCCCATAAGGTTGTGCTAATTTATATCTCCATAAAAATCATGTAAATGTTCCCTTTTCACTGCATTTTCATCAACATCTATTTGTGTTTTTACTTTTTAATTATGGCTATTCTACTAGAGTACGATGGTATCTCATTATGTTTTTAATTTGCATTTCTCTGATGGTTAGTGATGTTGAGCAGTTTTCCATATGTTTTTTGGTCATTCAAGTGTCCTCTTTTGAAAAAATGTTCAGATCTTTTGCCCACTTTTAATGTTTTTTTTTCTTGCTAAGTTGTTTGAGCACCTCATAGATTCTGGATATTAGTGCTTTGTCAGATGAATGGTTTATGAATAATTTTCCCATTCTTTTGGTTATGTTTACTCTGTTGATTATTTCTTTTGCTCTGCGGATTTTTTGTTTAATTAAGTCCCATTTGTTCATTTTTGGTTTTGTTGGCATTTGCTTTTGGGGTCTTAGTAATAATTTTTTTCCCTGAGCCTTTGTGCAAAAGATTTTTCTTGGGTTTTCCTCTAGAGTTTTTAGGGATTCAGGTCTTATATTTATGTCTTTAATCCATCTTAAGTTAAATTTTGTATATAGTGAGAAATAGGATGCAGTTTCATTTCTTTGCATATGGCTATCCAATTTTCCAGCATCATTTATTAGAAGCCAGCATGTGATACCTGCTTTTGTTCTTTTTGCTTAGGATTGATTTGGCTACACAGTGTCTCTTTTGGATCTATATGAATTTTAGGATTGTTTCTTCTAGTTCTGTGAAAAATGACATTGGTATTTTGATAGGAATTTCATCGAATCTTTAGGTTACTTTGGACAGCATGGTCATTTTTACAATATTGACTCTTTCAGTCCATGAGCAGGGATGCTTTTCTGTTTGTGGCAACTGTGATTTCTTTCGTCATTGTTTTATAGTTCTCCTTGGAGAGATCTTT